GCATCATTCCAATTTTCAGTCAGATATCTGTAGTTCCTGTTATTATAGAAATGCTTAACCCTTTATTATGTCCCTAATGCAAATGGCGCTAATGATATTTAGGGCCTTTGTAATCGCCAGATCATAAAACGCTTAGTTTAGTGGGATTGCATGATTCATAGACTCCTGACTGACAACTCAAATGGTGTACATGAATAGAGACATTCCCACAACTTTGTCCTGCAGCTTGGTCCCCACCCTCCCTTCACGTAGTTGCAAAATTTCCTGTGCCAAAACCTGGTAAATTTTTCCTAAAACGTGGCTTAATAAATTGTAGTTTAAAATGTAATTGTATATTAATTGTAGGTAAATATGGAGGTGATACAGATTCTAACGATGATACAGACGATGAAATAGAAAGGTAACTTTTAAATTTTCCTAGGTTCTTATCTTCTAACACTGATTCTAGGATATCCTAGGTTCTTATCTTCTAACATTGATTCTAGGATGTCCTAGGTTCTTATCTTCTAACATTGATTCTAGGATATCCTAGGTTCTTATCTTCTAACATTGATTCTAGGATGTCCTAGGTTCTTATCTTCTAACATTGATTCTAGGATATCCTAGGTTCTTATCTTCTAACATTGATTCTAGGATGTCCTAGGTTCTTATCTTCTAACATTGATTCTAGGATGTCCTAGGTTCTTATCTTCTAACATTGATTCTAGGATGTCCTAGGTTCTTATCTTCTAACATTGATTCTAGGATATCCTAGATTCTTATCTTCTCACATTGATTCTAGGATATCCTAGGTTCTTATCTTCTCACATTGATTCTAGGATGTTCTAGGTTCTTATCTTCTAACATTGATTCTAGGATATCCTAGATATATTAGAAAAAGAAATGAAGGCCCAGGGTCCTTGTCATTCTGAAGAATTCCTACATACTCAGTTACAATTATATAAGATTTAAGGATACAAATACAAATGTATAATATTATATCTTAATTTTGATTGCAAAACAATTAATTTGCAGAGCCAGAGCAAAAATTGAACAAAACAAAGCGAAAGTAGAAGGGGAGAAGAAAACTGCAGCAGTGAAACAAGAAGATGATGAATATGGTGGTTCTACTGATGAAGATTCACCAATCAAACAGCCTGTTACAAAAACCATTAAAACAGAAGAGCCAATGAAAACCAATGATACAGAATATGATAGTTCTGATTCAGGGTTGCCAGAGTTACCAGATTTTTTCACGGATAAAGTATTTTTTCTGTATGGTGATTTCAGTGAGACAGAACGTCGTCTGATGACCAGATATATTACAGCTTATAACGGGTGAGTAGAAATTGGGTTGAATCGTGGGATTTAAAATTTTATCAGTGCAAAGATGCTAAAGTAGGTTAGTTTGTTAGATACATGTCTGAAAGTCTGCTTATCAGTCCCATGAAGCG